GTGCCTCCTCCCTCCCTCTGCCCACGCTCCCCGTGACGCACATCCTCCGCCCACGCAGCCTCTGCTCGAGGCGCCCCCCTCCCTCCCTCCCTCCCACCCCGGCCGCCTTGGGGCGGCGCTGAGCCCCGGGATGCGGAGGGAGAGGCTGGCCCGCCTGGGGAGGACGGCATAGGGCGTGAAGCAAGGGGGCGGTAACCCACTGGGCGCCGGGCGCTTGGGTCCCAGCTCAAGAAAGAGGACAAGGGAGGAGCCTGTTCTGGGGCCTCCGCTCCTTGGTCCTGGGATGGGTGCCAGGCCGGAGAGGGAAGAGGGGAGAGAAGTCCCGCCCACTGGGCCAGTCCGCTGCCCAAGAGGCCAGAAGGGGTCGGTCTGAATGTGAGCCCGCGTATGAGCGCGAAACTCCTGAGTGTCTGTATCTGTTTTCTCAGGGTTGTCGTGAGGGTCACTTTGAGAGGGCATGTATGAAAACTCTATAAATTGTGAAATGCTAATAAGCAAATTTAAGACGATACTGCCAGTTTGTGCCTCTGTACCCTCAGATTATGTATTTTTGTTTCTTTACATCTATCTACTTGTGTGTCTGTCTCTCTCTCTCGGTTTGTGAGCCCCTCCGTGTGGATTTAAAAATACGTACATTTTAAAAATCATTGACTTGTCAAGCCCCGCCAGAGGCCCAGACGCCCCCGCAGCCGGAGCTGCTGAGATGTCTGTTCTTCGCTTCCCTCCTACTCGTACCACCCTCAACTCCCCTCCTACTCCCTTCCGTTGAGAACAAGGAATTTCCAGCCTTTAGCAAATGGAGAGAGACAGAGACAAAGAGACCAAGACTATAAGAAGCTACAGGAAAACAGTAAAGATAAGGGGGGGGGGGTGTTGACAAAAAGGGGGTGAGGCAAATTCAAAAATCTTAATTTCTCTTTTTCTCCCTTCTTCCCCTCCCCGTTTTCCCCAGCATGGCTCAAGCCCACTTCCCTACCTGATTCACTTGCTTCCCTCCCGCCTCCCTCCGCCTCCGTGTTCTCAGAGGCACACGGGCCTGAGCAAAGTATCCCATTTAATTAAGGGTTAGTTCATTGTCTACACTGGTCTCTTCCAGGAAGGGAAACAGTATCCTCAGTCCCAGGTTTCTAAGAACAGGGGAAAAGATTGTGAAGAAAGTGGGTGGAAGAGGAGTGTGGGAATTGCTAACCAGAAGGATTGCCGTTCCTAGGCACGAGTAGATTTTCATCCAGCAGATAGCACTGCTCACTCCCCTCCCCCAAGTTTTCACCAGGCCAAATCCAGCTCATACAGCAAGGTCTGGCGCAAATGTCACCTTCCTGGCCCCTCTCCTTCCTGCGCCTCCCCTAGGCAGAATTAATTCCTCCCATCCTTCAGTGGCCTCATGGCTCTTTGTATACATTTCAATTATAGTTGCTTGTTTCACGTTCAGCCCAGGACCTCTCCTGGTCTGGTACCTGGTGGATCCTCTGAAATGAGTGAGTTGATAATGCTATCTCCAGGCATGAGCAGCTTTGAAAGGGCAGTTAACACAGATATTACTCCAAAGGGGGCTTAACCTGGGTAGCACCGTTTAAGTGGAGACATTTGTTTTCCATGTCTGCTTCTTTCTTAAAGTTTCCAATGAGTCTCACAAGTCTGGCTCCTTGGCCTTCTAAAATGCCTGTTCTCCTGGTAAATTAATTCATACCCAGGTGCCGAAGGTATAAGTCTGAAATCCTTGCTGGTAACAGAAAAATATGAATACAAAGTAATGACCTTCCTTTTTAACTCTTTTATTAACATGTCAGAATTGTAGTCTAAGGAGCATTGTCCTTCAACTTAATCATCTTACAAGAGATGCTTCACTTCTCAAAGACAAGTCACCCTACCTTCTGCCGTTGGGGAACCCAGAGACTGGTAGGGGAGATAGACACATAAACAAATAATTACAATGTAGTGCAATATGAGTACAAACAATGGCAAAAGTATAGGGGGAAAGTGATGTTTTCTGCCTGGGATTGTGAGGGACTGATTTAAGCAGGCATCCAAAGGAGGTGATGATGCAGCCTAGGATTTTGAAGTGTGAGTAGATTTCCAGGAGGAAGGGACAGTCAAGTCAGAGAGAGCAGAATTTAAATTCACGTGGAGGTGTGAAAGAGAATAATATGTTTGAGAAACTATAAATTGTTAATCATTGCTAGATGGGATGTGCTGGTGGTTAAAAAGTATCCCAGGGGGTGTTTGAGGCCATTTCATTAAGGATATTATAGACCAGTGCTTCTCAAACTATCATCAAGGACCAATTTTTTTTTTTAAAGTTTCGAACCACTATGGAGTCCACTTACTGTTAAATACGCTAAAAGTGAATTATTAGAAAAATGAAATAAAATCCCTCATTTTTATTAGATTAAATAAATTTAACATTTCTCAGTCAAATTGCTATGAAAGTTTCTAAATGCCTACAGTTAATTTCTAAAATTGTTTCAGTGCAGATTGGTAACAAACTTTGAATAGGACTGTTGTAGTTAAAACTTTTTTCTTTACGTCTATGTTTTACGTCATACTGAGGACCATGGACTTCATCACAGGAGATACCAGAGAACCATAAAGACTTTGTAAGGTGGGAGTCATGTGGTCAGATCTGCATTTAGGAGTAGTGTGGAGGAAGGGTTTTATGGCTGCATAGACAGCAGGGAGGCCAGCCTGAAGGAAACTAAAGTGGTTCAGGCAAGAGGTGGCAAGGTGCTAGGCTAAATCACTGGCATGGGATGGAGAGGAAAGGATAGATGCAAAAGACAGTCAGCAGGTGGAATCAATAGGACTTGATGACTGGCTAAGGGGTTGGGGAGAGAGAAGAATTTAGGGTGAGTCTCGGGCTTCTAGGTTGGGTGACTGAGTGGTTGGAATGGAGCATCTTCATCAAACAGTCACCATATATAGTCCTTTTCCAAAATTAAGAAAACTATGAAAACCAAAAATTTTTCATAACTCATTTGACAACAAACCTAGTCTGACCTGAACTTATTTTTGTGGCAGTCCTCCTAAACTTACATGAGGTTATTTATGATTTCATTTATCCCACTTTCATTTATTCCAGTGTGAATATTCCTATCTCTTATTACAGAAATATTAATTTGTTGGATTATAGGGTGCTGTCCTAGACTGTCCTAGACCCCACTAGAGTGTTGCCTTACATATTGTAAATGCACCATATTACCTTTCTAAAATCCAAAAAAACTCTGGAACACATTTACTATCCAGATTTCCCACCCCATTTACTCATTTGTCTTAGCCTAAGTTCTTTTGGCTATTTGCATAAATCAGATCCACCTGCAGATAATGAATATTCATTGCAGTGTGTGCTATAGATTCTGAAGATGATTCTCAAAGCATTTTGAGCAGTGTCCTCATTATTAAAACAAGGCTAAAAGCTTCTTGAGTGACTACCTGGAAGTGACAGAACTCATTTGGATGATAAGGTGTGATATGTTTATGGACAATAAGTTTCATTACTGTCCACCTCGTTTACACATTTTAATAGTCAGTGGTCAGTGATCTTCTGGAATTAGTCCCCAACCCTGGAATTAGTTCCCCTATTCTCTGGCCTTTATTCAAAACCAAAGAGCGAGGTCTGAATGCTGAGAATTTTAGACCCGGTAGAAAATCGTGTATGTGTGTGTGTGTGTCTGTGTGTGTGTGTGCGTCTTAACTATTTTCTAAGACAGTTTCAGACGTACAGAAAAATTGAGACGGTAATACAGAGAGTTCTCATGTGCCCCACATCCAGTTTCCACTAATATAACCTTCACTGGTATAGTGCACCTGCCACCATTACTGAACCAGTGTTGCTATATTATTATTAACTAAAAGTTGATAGTTTATTCAGATTTCCTTAATTTTTACCTTTTTTTTCCTGTTCCAGGATCTCATCTGTGATACCATATTACATCTGGTTTCCTCTTGGCTGTTACAGTTTCCCAGTTTCTTTGTTTTTCATGACCTTGATAGTTTTGAGGATTACTGGTCAGGTATTTTGTAGATGCCTCTCTATTTGAATGTTTAAAATGTTTATCTCATGATTAGATTAGTTTCATGGTTTCACCATTTTCATCACACTATATCAAGGTTATGTAGTATCATGGTAATTTATCACTGTTGATATTAACCTTTCTAGGTCAGGCAGGGGAGTGTGTGGTGTGTGTGTGTGAGAGACAGGATGACCACTGTAGCAGGGCTGGCCTAGACTTTTCTGAGCATGAAATTTCTTCTCTTGCCCATAGCTCAACCCTATTTTGACGTCATAAAAATCCCTTGTTGTGAAAGCTTGAACCTTCCCCAGCAGTTACCTCCTTTCCTAAATTTCCTTGCAACTCACTCAGCTCCATTATCTCTACTGTTCCTACCCACCCCTATCAGATCTTCTAAAAAATAAGATGCTTCAGTTTCAACTAGTATTTACTGAACATCTGTTATGTACTAGGCACTCTGCTAGGCCCTCACTGTGTAAGTCATTTAATGGGAAGCACCTGATGCATAGAAAGAACTCAGGCTTTGGGGTAAGACTTGGGTTGGAACTACAAGCCAGCCCAAAGAACTGTGCAATCTTGGGCAGGTTCCTTTGCCTTGGCTTTTTCTTAAATATCTCACAGGACATTGTGAGGAATTAAAAAAGTTTCTCTTAATCTTCACATTCATTTCGCTTCCAAAAAAAGAAAAAACCCTATGACTACATTTTAAACTTAATGTTTATTCCTATAAAACACTATCCACGCAGTTTTTTGTTGTGACTTCCGTTTCAAATAATTTCATACTTTGGAAGACACAAGCAGCCAGAGAGGACCAGGAGCAGCCACACTGCCCCAGCTCCCTAACTGCGGGGCCCGGCACCAACTGCCGGCAAGACCGCCACTTTCATTTCTCCCTCCATGGTCGCGGGTCGGAAACTTGTCTTAAGTTTCCCATATCAAAAAGATCGTGGTAAAAAGGAAAGAAAGAAAACAGAAGGAACCTAAGGCAGTTTCGATGGAAATATCGTTTGGTCAAGGAGGCCTCGCCCATCCTGATTTTCTATAGGCTACGCTTACCATCAATCGCCCGAGTTGTAAATAAACTGGAGACGGAAGCATGTTGTTAAGGGGTGGGATCTTCCTGTCGCCATTGCTGAGGCGAGAACCCGTTTTCTAATAGGCTGAAAGCTGCTTCTTCCCGCCCTCTCGCGTCAGTTGCTAAGAGGCGGGACTATAGGGTCCGTAAAGGACTGAGTGCTCGAAGCTCCGCCCACCCGATTGGTTGGTAGGGGCTGGGCCTTGTAGCGGATAGGTTGCTGGCCCTGCCTATTCCGAGTTAGTTGCCGGGGAGAAGCACGTGAGGGGGAGGTGGTATGAGGCGACCATGGCGGGAGGAATGAAAGTGGCGGTCTTGCCGGCAGTTGGTGCCGGGCCCCGGATTTGGGGAGCTGGGGCAGTGTGGCTGCGACTGGTCCTCTGTGGCTGCTTGGTCTGCGGCTCAGGTACCGCCCGGGCAGAAGTTGCAGAGGAGTTATATTCAGAAAAGTGGGGACTGTCCCCAGGGCGCGGGCCGTTACTCTGCGGAGGGGCGCGGGCGTGGTGCAGAGGCAGAAGCTTCATCCTCCGCGATTGGGCGCCGGCATTGAGGGGCCGGGGCCCTGGTGCGGCCTAAGGGAGCTACCCAGAGTGGGGAGGAGCCTGGCGTCTTTTGGCGGAGATGGGGAGGCCTGCACTGGGTGAGAAGCGGTTCTACGGGCTGCGTCGTGCTGCGTGGGCCTCCTCCAGTTTTTGGTTTAAAAGGAAGGAGACCTGAGGACCATACTGGCAGGCAGAGCTGCCTTTGGAAAGAGAGTATCCCATTCATTGAGAAAATTAGCCAACACCTGAGCCTATGGTGGCAGGACTCAGGACATGGATGGCTGAACAGATAATTATAGTTAACTGAAATGCAGTGATCTCTGTCAATATCTCCTGTCCTCTGTCCTTGTAAGATCTTGGTCCCTAGCGGCACCCTAGAACCGACCAGGAGCTGTTAAATTCCTGTTTCCAAAAAAAGATACAAACGTTATTCAGCTTCGAGTAGGATTCTTTTGGAAGTTTATTCATTCGTCAATCAAACTTACTTGATACCTACTACTGGATAATTGGCTTTGGACTGGGACGAAATTATTTTACTTTTTCGCTATAATCCGGAAAACCTAGAGCGTGTTTGTAAAGAACCTATTCTTGTTAAATACACAACAGAAAGATAAGTGAGGTTTCCAAGCTTCCACTGGAGGGAGTTGAGACTCACGGGGATAAGGATAATCCTATCTCATGAACACATATGCTCTCTCCCCTCCTGTCGTTTGCTGCCTATCTCTTGCTGTCACTTGTGTTATCCTTACCTGCAGCTTTAAGGTTGTCTCAGGATTCATAGAACTAGTTAAAAAGTGCAGCGTCTTTGCGAAACTTTTTTTTTTTTTTTTTTTTTTTTTTTTTTTTTTTTTTTAGGGAGAGTGGAGTGGGTATCGGGAAGGTACTTTTCCAGAAGCGGGCCCCAGAATAATATCTGAAGGGCTCCGTATGATCTGAATGAACTTTGGCCTGATGGTTAACTTCTAAAATGGGATTGTGGATTGTGGGGATGAAAGAATATATATACCAGAATGCTCCTGCATAGTCAGTGTTCAATCAAAAGTTCCAAAGTTTCTTTGATGAGGAGAGGAACGGGAGACTTTTTGGCTTGGAGAAGGGTCACCTCGGGATATTTGTTCTTTGTGGCCTGGTAGATCATGTAGGTGGCAGCTACAAAGAGACAATCATGTAATAGAGTAGAACTTTGTAAAAGTGAGAGGTACCTAAAGAGAGAATGGAGTACTTCAAAAGACAGGAAGGGAGTTCTTTCTCACTGGAGGTTTTTGAAAAACTTCATTATAAAAATAATGTGAATTTATTTAAGACTATTGGGCAAGTACAATTAAGTATAAATAACACGTCATTTATTGTTATTTATACTTAGTTATTCCATTGTTTATTGTTTATTACGTTCAGAGGCAGTCTATTATTGCACACTTTCTTCTGGTCTGCTTCTACATGTTTTTAATTAAAAAAAATTTTTGAATTGATGATACATTCGTGTGCCTGTCAGCAATCCAGTTCTCTTCCCTGTTACCAGAGATAGTTTTCTCATTTGATTCTGTAGCATAAACATTTACCTATGTCATTTAAAATTCTTCATAAATGTTATTTTTACGTGTATTCTGTTCTAGCCTATGGACAGACCATTTGGATTTTCATTTTTAAGGATAGATTCTCAGAAATGGATTTATTCAATCAAAGGCTAAAATACATTTAAGACCCTTGAAACATTTTGCTAAAATAATTTCTGAAAATGTGTGCCAGTTTACACCACTATCAGCTATATTTGCTTGTGACCCATACCTTTGCCAGCATTGGATATTCTAGACTGTAACACTTTTGCTAATTTGATAGATCAAAAGTGGTATCTTAATTTATTTTGCATTTCTTGCATTACTTGTGAGGAAGCATCTTTCAACTGTTTATTAATTTAATTTTCTATTTAGACTTTTTTTTTTTTGGAGTATAAGTGTGTCCTTTGTTCTTGGCTATTTATTGTGGTTGCTGTTTATTGTGATTTTTGTATACTTAACTTGTATGAACTTTTTTATGTATCAAAGATATATATTTTTACTAAATGTATTTATTTATTGCAGAACTTTAATTTGTTTGCTCCCTTTATCTTTTTAAATATTTATTTTTATTTATACTTCTATGTGGTCACTTGAATTTATTCTTTAGATTTATTTTCACTTCTTTTATGCTTAAAGAGCTCTCCAAAATTGAATTGATTCATACATATATATGTATATATGTGTGTGTGTTATGATTTAATTATGTTTCATTTTACTTTTTAATCAATAGTTAATGTAGTGTTTGGTGTGGGTATCTAGATAGATTTTATTTTCCTTATAACCAGTCGGTTGTTCTAGCATCTCATTGAATAGTCCTTTGCTAAGCCCACTGATTTAAGGTGCTAGTCTTTAAGGAGGCTTTTAAGTATGAATGGGATTGCCTTTTGACAGAAATGAATAGAGGCTATTTAAGAATTAGCAGAGGTTGTTTTTCATGACTTTTTAGGGTTTGTTCTGGTCCTCACATACTATGAATTATTTTCGTTACCTTTTACTAGTAAATGTTAAATGATCAGTGTTGTTGATTGAAAAGTAGGTGAAAGTAAGTTCATAATGTTTATAAGTAAATATGAAGTTATAAATCTTTAAGTATGTGCTTTATGGATAAATACAATAAGCTAGTTGTGATTCACTAAATTCGAAGAAGGCATTTTCCAAAAACTACTAGATTTTTGGGCTCAGAAGGCTTTTTTTTTTTTTTAATGTTTAATTCTTTCTTCTTTTACCACGCTGGCTAACTCACCTTGGGGAGGGGAAGAAAGGTGTTGTATGTCCTTTTGCTACAGAAAGCGCAAGGTTCTAACATGAGCATTTTGACAACCCGTGTGTGTTTAAGGTAATTTGGTTTAGTTCTGTGTTTCTAACAACTTATGCTATAGCTGGAGTGGTGATTGTTTCCACAGATTATCCTCTTAGGCTGAATTGGTATATTTTCCCTCTCAGTGAATTGCCAAAGCTGTGGCTGGCCAAGGTGCTGATTTCTGTAGGAGGTTGCTATTAAATGAGATTATTTGTGTGTTTATTTACAGCGATTTCCTTTGAATGGTGTGGAACTTGGGAAAAGGAAGAACTAGATTTTTTTAAATGTTGCTTTTTGTAGAAGTTTTATTTCTTTACAAAAATGATACTGAAGAATTTTAAAGTTAGTTTAAAAACACAGATGCATTTTCTTGGCATTAAGTTCTTCAAATAGCCTGTGCTATTGAGACCTTATTTGTATCTTAGTACTCTTGGAAATAATAATGGGCTTAAAAAAATGTTGTGTTCTATTACTTGGTGCTGTGGGAAGGAAGGGGTTAATAAGTGTGACTTTAAAATAAATTTGTATCAGTAGTTTTAAGCTTCACATAATCTTACTCTCTTACAGTCTCCAGAAGAAGATAAACTCTTGATACATATTTGTAAGTGGGTGTTCTTTCAGTATATTTGTGGGTGTTCTAGTGAGACAAATGTCAATAGGATTTTGAAAAGTTCTCATTTTATGAAAGATAGGCTTGGAGGAAATCCAAATTACTACTGAATTAAACCCTAGTGAGAAACTGATAGATAGGGTTCAGGACACATTACCCCAAAATATGGCACCTAGGCATGTTAAATACTTCAAGCTGAGGGAGTTTGAGAAAATAGCAGAAGCAGGAAGGTCGCTCTTGCCTCCCCCACTTTGCCCTTCTTCCCTGAAACAGATCATAAAATCCTCACGCGAGAGGTGCCCTCCTTATATCGGGAGGAAAAGAGCATCCTTATCTTGGAAGACAAAGGGACACAAAGAAGAATCCTAGTAGACAGGCTTTGCTGTTTCCCGCAGTTTACTACACTTACCTCATACTCAACCTACTGTATTCCTCCACAATTGTCCACTCTTCATCACATCCAGCGTAAAAGTATGTAGGTCTGACTGTTCCTTTGGGTCTTCATTTCCTTATGAAGGCTTTCATGTCATGGAAAACATTAAATAAGTTTGTATACATTTCTCCTACATTTAATATGTCTTTGTCAGTTTAATTTCCAGACCTAGCCAGGGACCCTAAGAGGGTCAGGGAAAACTTCTTCTTCCTCTGCAACATCAAAACTGAATTAAAAAATGGAGATGTTGCTGTACACCAGCAACTAACACAATATTGTAAATCAGCTCTACTTCAATAAAAACAAAATTGAGATATAATTCACATACCATAAAATCCATGCTTTCAGTGGTTTTTAGTATACAGTTGACCCTCGAAGGACATGGATTTGAAGGTGCAGAACTGTGGATCCAGAGGGCTGACTGAAGTTATGCGCAGAGTTGTGACTGTGCTGAGAGTCGGTGCCCCAAAACACGTGTTCAAGGGTCAGCTGGCAACCACTAATCTATTTTCTGTCTCTGGATTTGCTTGTTCTGGACATTTATAAAAATGAAATCATTGAATATGTGGCCTTTTTTTTCTTTTTTTGGACTGGCTTCTTTCAGCATCATGTTTTTGAGATTCATCCATGTTACAGTATGTATCAGTACTTTTTATGGCTGAATAATATTTCATTGTATGGATAATACTGCATTTTGTTTATCCATTGATTAGCTGATGGACATTTGATTTGTTTCCACTGTTTGGTTATTATGGATATGCTGCACTGAACATTTGTGTACAAGTTTTTGTGTGAACATGTATTTCAATTTCTTTGGGTATATACATAGGCATGGAATTGCTGGGTCATGTAGTAACATAAAATAAGTGTTTAAGTTTTCCAGGAACTGCCAAACTTTTTGAGAGGCAGCACCATATTATATTTCCACCAGCAGTGTGTGAGGGTTGCAGTTTCTTCACATACTTGTCAGCATTTGGTTATTGTCCTCTTTTACTATAGCCACCCTAATGAGATTGAAGTAGTGTTTCATTGTGGTTTTGATTTGCATTCCTGTAACAGCCAATGATGTTGAGCTTCTTTTCATTGTGCTCGTTGGCCATTTGTATATCTTCTTTGGAGAAATGTCTATTTAAGTCCTTCACCCATTCTAAAAATTGGGTTATTTCTCTTTTTTGTTGAGTTGGAGAAGTTCTTTACATATTCTGGATTCTGGATACTAGGCTCTTATCAGATATATGATTTGCAAATATTTTCTCCCATTTTGTGGGTTGTCTTTTTACTTTCTTGATAGTGTTCTTTGAAACACCGAAGTTTTAAATTTTTATGAAGTTGGATTTATTTTTTTATGAAGTCCGATCATTTTTTTCTTGAGTTGCTTATGCTTATGCTTTAGTGTCATATCTAAGAAATCATTGCCATCCAAGGTCACAAAGATTTATATGTTTTCTTCTAGGAGTTTTATAGTTTTTGTTTTTACATTTAGGCTTAAGACCAAATTTAACTTCAGAATTAGTCTTAGCTTCACCTTCAACCGTTTCAGAATGATGGGTGTTGTTGCCCTTTTTTGTGTGTAACTTTGGCTTTCTAAGGTTTGGTTGAGGTTGTTGTGTTTTTTGTTTTATCAGTTTATTTAAATCTACCCACTTTTATACCAAGGATCAGAGAGATAACTAACCTTCCCCTTAGAGTAGCACTTAATGAATTGCTAAGTACAATGTAGAGCTTAAGGAAGAAATTATTGAAATGTTTCGTGGTGAAGAAGGAAGTTTGTGCAAACTTGGGTGGGAAGATATAAGAGAGTGGTCACTTTTAAACCTTAAATTAGCCAAGATTGAATACGAAGTCCTGAGGGGAGTTTGTTTTGGTAAAATCAAAGGGCCTGCATATGTTCATTGGCTGCTCTTGAAACTTGAAATGAAACAAACAGCTGGAACAAAAGCAATTTTGCAGTCTTTCTCGTTTAGTATCTGCTTAAAGTACTCCAGTACAAAAACGTTGCCAATTCTGTGCATCCTACTCAGAAAAGGGATAGAGAAAATCACCAGATGGGGTTACTTCAGCTATGCCTTTATAAGGGAAACGGGACCTGGTTGTGAAGCTCAGTTAAGCTGTTTACTAGCTGTGTGACTTTGGGCAAATTCCTTAATCTTTCCTCAACATCAGTTTCCCCATTTGTAAAATGGGGATTATGAGAATGCCTACCTTATAACATTGTTGGGAGGGTTAAATGAGACAGACAGCATATTGTCTGGCTTAATAAACACTTAATAGTGGCTTTTATTATTACTTATCCTGGGTTAGTGACTATTTAATATTTAAATAATTATATTTGTCAGATATAAGACTGCCTTATTTCTTCTCTCATCTCAGTTTTCTTCTTTGTTTCTTAGTCACTGACACTTTAACCCTAGCTTTAAGAAAGTGGTCGGTTTAATTCTTCTTATGAAATGAATTATAGTTATTAGCTTATTTTGTTATTATACTTAATTCTTATCTCCTTTTTTTACATAAAGCCGGAATTGATTTAAAAGTGGTCATGCTTCAGGAATCCAAAGTTTATTATATGAATACCAGTCAACAATCCTGTTATAAAAATGTGCTTATCCCAAAGTGGCATGACATATGGACACGGATACAGGTAATAATTGGAGGCCCCTGGCAGGGGCAGTTTCTGTAAATATCTGTCTGTCTGTGATTAGTGAGTACTTGGACTTATTTCCCTTCTCACACACAATTTAAAAAATATGTATGTAAAATTAACAACCTTGCTAAGGTTGAGGTTATCCTTGATCTAATCAGTGTTGTCATCAGTAAGCGTTTATTCCTCCCTTGTGTTCCCCTCTCTCTGTTCCTTTAAATAGCCCCCAGTACTTGACCCTGAGTGTCCTTTTCTTTTCCCAAAGAAACTCCTTCTTTCTCTTCCCCTCTCTCCTTTCACACACACTCACTCACACACTCACACACCTCTCTCCCTTTCTGAAGGCCTTGTACCTTCTTGGGCTGGAAGCTTTGTGTGCCTGTTAGGGTGTAAACTCCTGCCTTGCTGCTCCTAATCTGTTTTGATTCTGCACAAGATGTTGCGTTAAACCCCCCGAGCTGAAGTTTCCCCTCAGTAGAATGACTTTGGTCTCATTTGTGTCATAACTCTGTTGAGCCACCTGGCAAGCAAGAGTGTCTGGCTATGCTGATTGAACAAATGAGTCCTTTGAAAATGTTTCTGCTCCTGTAAGCATAGTTACTGATAAGGGCATTTCTTCACATCAAAAACATAAGGGTGAGCTTGTGGGGTTTTTTTCCCCCCAATTCTCTCTTTTCATTGTCTGATAGAAAGATCATATACCATCTGGGGCACATTATAACCAACATTTATCCATAATCAGTGATTTGTGACAGAGGGTTGAGCTTTTCAGCCTGTCATTATGGGAAATAATTTTGGAGCTGTTATGCCTGGCAACTTTCTTAATATTTTAGATCCTTGCTTTGTATGATCTCATAAATAGATGCATTAGTAACTTTTTCAGCATGGAAGTTTTTTATTCTTCCCTATGTTCTGGTCTAATAGTAGATTCCGATCATGCTCACAATAAGGCATTCTAACAGCTGCTTCTCTGTACCACGTGCAGTGTTATTTGCCCAATTATGCTTCAGCCGCTGCATCTATTTCTCATAAGCCTTGTGGAAAGCTGGTGCCATTATTGATTTAGCTGTTTACTCTAAAGTTTGTTTTTTTTAAATTGTATTTGTGAAAATGTAAAATTCCTACTTCCACCTTTCTCATCCTGATTTTACTTGTGTTGCAGATCCGGGTAAACAGTTCCAAACTGGTACGAGTCACCCAGGTGGAGAATGAGGAGAAACTGAAGGAGCTAGAGCAGTTTAGTATCTGGAACTTTTTTTCCTCCTTTTTAAAAGAGAAATTGAATGACACCTATGTTAATGTGGGTCTATACAGCACAAAAACCTGCCTCAAAGTTGAGATTTTAGAGGAAGACACCAAGTACAGTGTCATTGTGACCCGGAGTAAGTCTTACCTCTGTTTTTCTGATGGATTCTGTGGTGAGAAGGGACTGAGCTTTGGAGGGTATAATTAGTGAGACAGAGAAGTCAGCCCAAGACAGCTCCGTTTGGATTCTGATTATAACCTGAATATACCACTGCTCCATACAGTTCAGAGACTCCACCCCTCGTAGACCCCTTTTAGCCTGGAATTGAGACTTCACCTTAAGTCATTCTGAGTGCCTTCTTGCCTAGAACTGTGAAGACTTGCATTCCTACTAGTCCAGCGGCCCTGAGCTGATAGGCCTAGTATTCTTCAGAGTAAGATAGACGCCCTCCTGCCCTCTGCGCGCTTATAGACACAGGTAGATGTCCTGAGATGTACAGGCCTGCATTTGAAGACATGAATGGTTAAACAACAGAACTGAAGAAAGGTACAGCTTAATACCTCACAAGCAAAAGAATATTTGTAGGACTGAATAGATGTGAAGGTCATTGCCGTTTAAGGCTTATTCCGTGAAAGTGGGAGAGGTTTTCCCTTCTCTAAATGTGTCTGAGAAGGCTGCAGAGAGGAGGTGGATCATTATGCTGTTGAACTCTCTCTGACTTTTGGTCTCTCCTTGATAAGTACCCAGGAGAGTAGTAGAAAAGTCCCTGGTTTTTGCTGTGCTGTGCCCTTCTATTTGTCCTGGGGTTCCACAGCTTTTTGGTGGAATCGGATCAGCCTGTTTTTTGGCATTCCTTTTGTATTTGCTGATGCCTCTTGCTCCTGTTCTGTTTGTGGACCTCCCCTAGACTCAGAGCTCTTGAATGTGAAAGCTGTGGGAGTGTCTGACATGCCAGGAAGGGGCGTCTGCTTGGGCCCCCTGGTCTTGGGCGAGATGTGTTTGAGTGTGGGTTTTTCCAACACAGTGCTTTGTAGTGAAGGGAAGTAGGTGGTGGTGGTGGTCAAGAAAAGCAGCCAGTCAGAGAACAGCAGAGGGCCCTGACCCAGAGTTCAAGGCAGATCTGCTGAATCCAAGCCCATGAGTGACTTAAGGCTTGAAAGCCAGAATGGTAGAGACCCCTTGTGGGCGACTGCATGAAGTGCTGGTGGCACTGTCTGGCTCCATCCAAAGCAAAGCTTAGTTTCTTTTAGGCTTAACGTGGTAGCCAAAATAAAAATAAACTGTTCAGGAAAGTACAGGTTAGACAGAGACCTAATTGTACTTTCTCTTTGGGAGGGGCCCAGGCTTTGTGTGAAATTTAAAATGCTGTTTAGGTAGGCTGTTTGTGTTTATTTTGTTTGCTGACCAATGATTCAAGTATTGCCTTTCATTCTAGAATGCCTTACATTGTTTGGTTCCCCTATTAAGCGGAAGTCTTTTATTTGTTTCAGGATTTGACGCCAAACTCTTCCTCATTTTCCTTCTTGGACTTATGCTATTTTTTTGTGGAGACTTGCTAAGCAGGTAGGTTCCAAGGCTAGAGGGCAGAATGGTGAGGCTCAGACCTACCCTGCTTGACTTTTATCATAAAGACCCAAAATGCTGCCTTTCCGGGAACTTTATGGATGGCTAGACCATTGCCTGCTTGGAAATTTTAAAAAATAGTTTAATATGTGTTATGATTATTATTTTTTCTTATATTAATAAGATTGGCAATAATGAAATTCTTCCACTAGGTTACCCATCGTTTGATGGGATTTAGCCAATATGTCACCACCCTTTCCACTGTTAGAAATAATATGTGAAGTAAGCCCTCCTTTTTACAGGGCTGTTTGCTGAGTTTCATGCTATTCAGAGGTAAAGAAGCACATCCACGCATTTATTTCCTGCCTTTAGGAACCTACTGGCTAGGCTAGGTGAAACAGACATGTACAAGTACAAAGAAAAGAGTTAACTAAACAAACATTGAACAAAAGTGGAATCAACATTAACCTTGTACACAAGGAGAATATTTGTGGAGTAGTGAAAGAAAGGGGAAGTTCAGGTGAAGTTCAGCTGGCATGAGGTTCACAGAGGTTGTCTCTATTTTGAGGATCCTGAGAGAAGCTCACGGTGAGGGAAAGAATATCTGGTAGAAGGAGCCTGGAATAGGAATAGGAGCTCTCTGTTCCGTGCCTTGTGTTCGGTTTGTCCTTCGGTAACCAGTTCAGTTCCAGTTTCCAGTCTCCGCTTGGGCAGTACCCTTGCCCCTTCCTTCTCCCCAGGGAAGCTGTGCAGTTCCTCAGAAGAAAGATTCTTATTACAGACGGGGTGGGGAGAGAGGCTACGGGTGGGAGTGGGAGGCTAAGCAGAGGTCAGTTATTGAGATCTGTTCGAAGGACCCTCCTTGATGCTAATCCTCACAACCTGGCAGCAACTACGCTGTACTGGTCTCTCCAGTCTTCTGACCTCTCTCAGGTTTGGAGCAAATACCTGCTCTTGTACCTTTTTTCTATCTTTTGGCTGGGATAGTTGTCCTGGTTTGAACAATGCCATTTATAAAGAATACACACGTAGCCATGAAACGAATTTTCTCTCTGCAGAAGTCAAATCTTCTACTATTCCACTGGAATGGGTGTGGGAATTGTGGCCTCCCTACTAATCATCATTTTCATTCTCTCCAAGTTTATGCCCAAGGTAAGCAGCAGAATTCGTAAATGCTGTTAGTTAGATGAGCTTGGATAGTTGAAGGACTGTTTTCTTAGATAATTTTACAGTGCTGAAAATGTGCACTGATGGATGGTAAGTCAGTGTCTTCTCTTTCCCTGATTCAGAGAGGTGCTTGGATGAAGTGTGGAGGCTGATGACATACAAACTCCCTTTTTATTTGAACTCCTGTGTGCAGTGGGGGAAATAAAGTCTGCTTCCTGTTTGCTAATTACGTAGATTGCATACCCAGGCATTTAAGTTACTTAGCGTTTCTTTTTCCCAGTGTTCTTTGCAAACCATACCATTTTAAATATAAAGGACATCTTTTTAAGAGATGTGTTTTGTGCATTTTTAGTGGGTTGATTTTTTAAAAAAATTATTACTGTAGTTCCATTTTGCTTCTTTTATGTATGGAAAGCCTGTTGTAACTTTTTGCTTTCACTTCTACTCTATCTTAGAAAAGTCCCATTTACATCATCCTGGTGGGAGGCTGGTCCTTTTCTCTGTACCTCATTCAACTAGTTTTTAAAAATTTACAAGAGATCTGGAGGTGTTACTGGCAGTATCTCTTAAGTAAGTGTTACTGGTTTTGCTTTTCTTTATATATGTTTATAGGCTGTTTTAGTTAATTTGATCATGAAAAGATGTTGCCTGCTTGCAGGAGTTTAATAGCCTGTGCCATTTTATTAACTTGTAAGAATCATAGTTCTTTACTTACTTCTAACCCCTCTATAGTTGTCACCTTCTCTTAGATTAAAATGATGCTGCTAGGCAGAAGACTTTAAATTGTTGATGTTTATAAGTACACCTTCTCTTTACACACTAGGCATCTTTCTGAAAAACTGTAAAATTTATAAGTATAATCATATTTTTAAATATACTTGAGAACTTTAAGAAGTAAAGGACTCTACAGTGAATCTTATCTATAAAGCAAGAATCCTTTGGTTATATAGATAGTAACCCTTAATCTGCCCTTTGAGAGGTGATTAATTTGGAGTTTCTTGTATAAAGGTTTTTTAGACTATTTTAGAGTTGTTCAGCATGTAGCTCTACTCCATTTGGTACAACAGAAAGGACAGAAACTTAAGGAGATAAATATATCTGATTAATGAAAAAAGTGTGAATACTTGAGTAAAGATCTTATCCATTTTCCGGGTTCAATAGGTGCTATATAGTGAATTTACTACTGTTCCCTACACAGATTATTTTTACCAGTTTTAGATGCAAAAGAATGTCTTCTGATAACTCTTCTCCTAGGCTACGTCCTCACAGTTGGATTCATGAGTTTTGCAGTCTGTTACAAGTATGGGCCCTTGGAGAACGAACGAAGTATCAACCTGCTAACCTGGACCTTACAGCTGATGGGCCTGTGTTTCATGTATTCTGGCATCCAGATACCGCATATCGCCCTTGGCGTTGTCATCATTGCACTGTGTACTAAGAACCTGGAGTACCCTGTTCACTGGCTGTACATCACCTACAGGTGACTGCAAGGCAACGTAGCTCTGTACTGAAGTGTGTGATGTGGGGTGCAGTTGCAGCAGAAGGCTACAGAGGTGTTACCCTGGGAGCCTGTTTGTTAATGGTGTTATGCTTCACTTTAATTTCTTTCTTGTCTTTCTTTTTAGATTCTATGTAGGCATTTTGTAGAACTTATAAATTCTAGTTATTTTACATGAAATGAAAGCATCTAGTGAAATGTCATGTGTTCCTGTTACCACTAGGTGGTGCCGAGTGTATCACTTTTACCCCACACGCCTCAGGTCACCTGGTTTCGGATTGTTTCACACTGGCTCTCAGATTGCTCTGGAAGTCCTGTCTTATTTTAAGATGCAATTCAAAGCATGTTATCATCTTGCATAGTGACTATGGAGTGGTCATAGGTTCTGAGGTTATCTGTGGTTGACTATTATAGATAGTCAAAGTGATGTCTTCAGTTTGGGGGGCTCAAGTTAATGGACCACAGTCTTATGCCATCATTTTCTTGTGATTTTTCGGTTTATGGGAAGATAAATATTTTGTCTATCATTTATTGGAAAATAAGTGAATTTATTCACATTAGTGAATAACACTGACTCCTCATTTGTCACTCATAGTCTAATGTGTCGAGTTCATTATAACTAAAAGTGTCTATAGGAGAAAGGTGGGAGCAGTGACTCTTAATGTTCAGGCTCTCTGCTGTATGCTTGGCCCGCTGAAGGTAAGATGGATGTCGATTACTGATTAATCATTCATGGTGTTATTTTGGTGAGCACAGAAAGGTGTGTAAGGCAACAGAAAAGACTGTCCCCCCTCGTCTCCTGACAGAAGAAGAGTATCGGATACAAGGAGAAGTGGAGACCCGAAAGGCTTTAGAGGAGCTTAGAGAATACTGCAACAGTCCAGACTGCTCAGCTTGGAAAACCATTTCTCGAATCCAGTCTCCAAAGAGGTACATAAACTCTTGGCCAAAAATGCCGCATGTCTGTCAGGGTGGCCATGCCCAGAGAGCCTACTTCTGGGTGATCATTTTGTACCTACGGCTCTGTTTTCTTGTTCGTTGGGAGTAGTCAAGAGAAAGGTGTGTATATCATCATATGTGAAGCCTTTTGGGGTTCCTCAAGGAGCTCTTTGCTGTGGCTTTGTCTGTAGCATTCAGATGGAAAGACTCCAGTACCGTATTGTTTCCTCTCTGATTCATTGCTCTTTGAGTGGTTTTTAAAAAACTTTTGGCAGCAGGGGAATGGGGTCCTTTTTATTTGGAAGCAACCGTACCAATGAGTAGGTGAAGCTTCAATTTGGAATCCTGATGCCATAAAGTTTATAGGGCCATAAACACAGATAAACACCCCTTAATCCCCTCTTGTCGGGATTACGATGACTAAGGGAACTTTAGCACTTCCACAACTGAGAAGGGCAACTACCACCCCATGACTGGGCGTGCTTACTAAGCAGGATGGGGTTGCCGGGGACTTTGGCCTGTGACCCCAGCTTTCCTTTTCTTCTTATTTCTTGCTTTAGGCTGCTTACCTGCCGGAGTAAGAACAAAGGTATTGGCTAGACTCAATATAATTTGAGCTGAGAGCGTATCAGGGGTTTCAATTTACTCTTATTTTGAAAGAAAACAGAAAAGGCAGCAGGCAGGTTCCTAATGACTATTATCTTCTCTCTTGCAGATTTGCTGATTTTGTGGAAGGTTCTTTCCACCTCACTCTGAATGAGGTCTCTGTCCACGAGCAGGAGTATGGCTTAGGGAGCATTATTGCCCAGGATGAACTCTATGAACAGACATCCTCTGAGGAGGAGGACGCGGATCCTCGGTACCCCATTGTCGCACAACAGAACAACTTCCTGACCTAGGTGGCAGTCAGTTATCTTCACGTGGATTGGCTTGTACCTGGATGGTGCAGGTTGCATGTGTTGTGCAATTGCTTCTCAAATCTTTGTAATAGAGGGAGATAGTGCAGAAGTTCTCCCACTGAAATTCGAGGCCTGAATGTGAGTAGGCCTCCCTCTGGAAATGGCCTTGGTGGTCTCTGGGATCTCACGGAAGGAGAGTGGATAAAGTAAGTGATTGCTTTATCACTCATCCTTATTGCTTTATCCCATTGCTTCCCATTGGTTAAGCTCTCGGCCCACCTTTATGTTTCCAAAGAACCTGGATGGCCACATGGCATTCCAGCTCCTCTTTGAAAGTTGATCCAGTCATGGCATTTCAAACTCAGAAGTGAGAACTGTCACATGTGAAGTAATGCTTTCAGACTATAGGCTGCATGTTTTAGAGACGAATCTACAGATCTGAGTCTCTTCCACTTCTGCTTTTATTTCAGTGACTTTAGCATAATCCTCGCTTTACCTGTTTTAAGAGGAAAATAATTATTTATCTGTCTTGCTTTTTAAATGAATACATTTTAAAAAATGTAACAAACTCATGTTGCAGAACTAGCAAGTGACAAGCCCCATAGGCCCCTACCTGCTTATCTACATGGATTATCCATTAAAGCTGCAGGAGCTGTCGTGTTGACCTTGGAGTTAGTTCTCACACCTATGACATTCTCAGTCCTGCTCGCTTTCAGGAACATGCCAGCAGGCCCGTCTGTAGGGGAGGTCTGTTGGCCTTTTTATTATATTTAACTTTCAGTTTCATCTTAAGAATACATTTGCGTGCTTCCCTTCTTGTTCCTCCTTGCCCCCTTTGCCCTTTCAGGAAAGGTCCAGCTCCTCACCTCTGAGTTATGGGCAGCTCAGCGCGTTTCATTTCTTACCTCCTCTTTGCCCGGCTTACAGCAGGGCTTTGTCCTGCTAGTTGGGAGGGGTGGTCTTATTGAGGGAATTTAAATGCTTTTTATAGGTTCTCCATTTTTCCTGTCAGTGGGTCACGTATCTTTGAATTGTTGGGAAATCAAGAAACTGTCTCCTTTTCCTTTGCCTTCCTTTTTCTACCCATTCTGCCTGTTCTTTTCAGCCTTTCCTTACCACCTGGACCCCTCCCTGCCAGGAAGCCTGGCTAGTTTGCAAGCCCTGAAACGATCCGCGAAGGGTCTTGACACAGCATACAAGTTGTGGCCCTGCAGCTGCCTCAGTTTACGCTGCCAGGAGCTGGACCTCCGGATAGTCCTCGTGCCTCCCATGCTCATTCTGCCATCAGGGTCAGATGCATTTTTCCATGAACTTCTTGTACTTACTTGCAATTCCATTTCTGACCAGAGATTCATGCTGCCTTTTATTACAGTGGCACTGGTTTCACATTCTCTTGGCGCTGGAAAGCACCCTTATAAACCAGCAGCGCCGTTTATGAGGGAGCAAACTCCCAAGTCTCTGCTGCTTGCTCAGTTCTGCCTTTGTGATCTTCACCCTCGTACGCTGGAGAAAGCTATAGTTACTTTAGCCAGGAAGGTGGACACTGATGGCAGGGAGCATGGCATCGGACTGGCTGGCTCACTGTGATCACGGAGATGGCAGATGATTTTTAAAAAGCTGTAATGTCTCCTTCTGACCAGCCATTTAGCAGATAATTTTGAAAGGCCTTGGGCTTTGTCACTAACTTCCAAAATGTGAGCACTGAGACTCCCCTCCAGGTGGCCAGTTGATTTTTTTTTCTGCCAGTGTTTTCCACAGCTTTAAGCTGTCCTAAACAGACAACTACCTCAATTGGCAGCAAATAGATATACAGCAGAAAGTGAAAAATAAGCAGTATTTGGGCAGATGCAATGGGTTAAAGTTGCTTTATATTGGGAAACCTTTATACCTTTTGAATTATGTTCATGGTAAAATGTTACCCCTCTACAAAGAAATGTTAAGGCCTCTGAAATTTATTATTTTTTTGCCTCATTTATAGAAATGAAGACCTAGCATCTTTGAGCATAATTTGATTTAAAAAAATAATTCGGCTGTACAAGTGGTCTCAGGATTTCCTGAAGACTTTGGTGCCTTTCTCCACATACCTACTTAGGGTCATTGTCGGTTGCCTCCAGGGTGACTTCCTGACTCATGTCTTTCGTCTCTATATATATTCTTCTTCAAATTCTTTTTCATTATCCTGACTCGTATCTGTGCTTCAGTGAGAAAGCATCGTGAAGTAGAGAAAGATTCTCCTCTTTTTCTCTTTAGTAAACTCTTTATGTGCTACAGTTTCCATCTCAAGACTAGTTTTTTCACTGTGTTTGAATTTGGGGTGAGTAGAATCACACTCAGTTTATTACTCCCTGTCTGGTAGTTGGAGAACTGGGCTGTAGGCAGTGGCGACGACAACGGGTCCCTCACCATGAGAGCCGCTCTCAGGCAGTGAAGGACGGTGCCTCTGATGTGCTGTGTCCTTGCCCTGCCTGCCTGTGTGGCTCTGCCCCAGATGCTTCCGGGCCTCTGTGTGCCCGGAGATTGCTCGACTCCATAAACCTTGTTTGGGAGCTGCTCTTGTCTCCCTCTTGGCCACTTAGTCTGCTGGCTCAGTCACTACTTGAAGCCCCCATTTAATTTTCTCTGGCAGTTACAGCTCTTGCAATTTCAGCATAGTCTCATCTCTCAGACCGATCTCATCAAGAAGGACTGAAGGGGTAACTGTGGAGTGAGCTGGACATTGGAGCCACGTCTGCTGCCACGTCAGCGTCTTGCTCGGCAAATACCAAGCTGTAAATGGACGCTAGGGCTCAGGGTCTCATCAGCATTGGAAATCTATTGCCTCTAATCGGTCTGCCTGAGCTGTGTACAGTATGACTCCCCTTAATGGGAGTACAAGAGCCAACCGGCCTAGAACATTTCCCCTTCACTTTCCCACTCACATTGCTTCCACAAGACCGATGGAACCAATGACTGAAAATAAGAAAAGTTTTGCAACTTTAATATCTTCTAATAAGAAATTCCTATCAGCCACTTCATCCTACCAAAGCTAGTTTATTTCTCCCCCCAAATTCATGACTTTTAGGTCTGTTACAGGATTTTGCTGCAGACAGACTTGGAGTCCCAGTGTTCCATTTTGTGCTAATGTGTCCCCTCCTAGGGCTAGCCCTCTCTTCAGCGCAGTCCCCACTCGGCATACACGGTAGAGATTTGATGACTGAAAGGACCCAGATAGGCCAGATAGCTCCCCCAGGCCCTGATAGCCATAAAAGGCTTGGGGGTGGATTATGCAATTGCCCTCAATCTTTTTGTTGTTCCAGAAAAAAAGATGGGCTCAGATGGATGCCTGCGTAAAATGGTTCCTAGCTATGTACTCATAACTTCTCTCTGAATTGAGAGTGAAAGTTGAAGTAGGAGGAAAGGAAATTAAATGTCCTTCTAGTATTCCTTTAGACTGAGGCCTGACATATGAGATAATAACCTATATTGAAATGCCAAGAACTTTATCTGAACCAAGGAGAGGACAGTTTGACAGATTTATTATACCTTCATGTTACATAGGCACTGAAACCAAGTAATAAACATAAAATAGCCATTGCACAAGGCAGATGCACCTAAAACCTTTGGTTTATGTTTTGATGTAGCAGAAATTATTTTTTAGGGAAACCTATGCAATTGTGATCCAGCGGTGTCTCTTGGTAACTTAGCTTACGGATTCAGTTGCTGTTGAGTTGGATTCCACATGGTTACTACCTTGAAAAGGGAGTTTGGTGCCTTATGTGATGGGAGCCAGAGCCTGCCGGGAATAAACAAAGCAGATTTCATGCCAGTGTCAACGCACAGCTTTAATGGGGATGGAAATGGCACAAAGCCTCCCAAATTTGGGGCTTTTGGCTCCTATACCACCCACCCATGTGTGTCATCTTCCTTTTCACACTCATAACAATAACTTGAAAATGGTGAAGTCACCTTCTCTGAAATTTTCTACAGCATGGGCAGCATTCTTATCTTGTTGACATAATAGCTCATAATGTGAGTATCAGAACTGTTAGCCTGCGATTGCCTCAGTCTACCATGTTTCTAGAATTGAGGGTGAAGTAGCAGGGGTAAGGAATTACTGGGTCAGTTTTAGCCTGTGGGTAATGCCTTAGTGTTATTTTAAAAGATTTATCATTTATATTTAAAATAAGTGTCATGAATGTTTGAAAGGAACAAAATGATCAGGGATGACTTAGCCATGGGTCTCATTTTCACTCTTTTCTGTAAGAAACAAATAAAAATGTCTTATTATATATATTTTTTCATTTTTATTGTACAAGTTTGTAAGTAATCCCAATTTTAATAAAGTTTTATAGACGATAGAGTGGTTTCTCTTAATGAACATATACACTTTTCTTGTTTGGATCTCTTGTTTTCAGGAAATCAGCAATTAGCTCCTCTGTTTCATTTTTCTAATGAGATGGTTTTGCATGCCATTTATTTTCCTTTTTCTTTTTTTTAACCACTTCTCCCCATCCTGGGTCTGTCTTGATCTCTTTCCATCCTCGGACTAGATGATTTTGCGGTAGCTTTGCAGAAGCAGTGGGCTGGACCGCTGTGCTGTCTCATAGAAAAGCAAGGTATAGTTTATTCCTGCTGTAGGGAGCTGCTCTGTACTTTAGTTCTTTTCTTTTCTTTTCTTTTTTTTCTAATGACCTAAAGTATCTCTTTTGTTTCTCCATTGGGATGAGGGAAGACCTGTGATCCAGCTCTGAGATGCCTGCCAAGAAAATGTAGGGTGAAAGGGAGCAGGGCTGTAGCGAGTGTTAGGGGCCATGGAATAAAAACTTCAGTTATGCCTGGGCTCAGCTTTTGCAGTAGGGAATTTGGAACCTTTTTATGTTTTGGCTATTTTCTTTGCTCTGGGAATCTGACATAGCACTTGCATTAATTCTGTACCTGTCTCCTCGCTTCTCGGTTATTTAGACTACTTGGAAATCCATTGTCCATTTTTCAAAGACATTTGGTGAAATAGGAAGAGAACAGGATGTGGATCATATGCAAATTTATGTAGATTAACGCTCACTAATGACATCCTTTCTTCTCTCCCTTCTATGACCAAGCTAGGTAAATAAGAGGTATTAGATGATCACCCATGGTTGAATTAATAAAAACTTAAAGCACAATTGTCAGATTTGCAACATCATAGAGTTTTGGTGAGGATAAAAAAAAAAGGTAAGGTGTGTAAAGCATTTCTTCTCAAACTTTAACATGCATGGACATCATCTGGGGTGCTTGTTAAAATGCAGATTTCTGATTTAGGAAGTCTGGGTTGGGGCCAAGTTCTGCATTTCTCATAAGCTCCCAGGTGAGTCAGATGCTGCTGGTCTGTGGACTTCACTTTGAATAGTATTAAAGTTGTTGCCTGGCACATAATAAGTACAGCTGACTCTTTAAACAATGCCGGGGTGGAAAGGGTTAGGGGTGCCGACCCTCCATGCAGTAGATCTGCCTGTAACTTTACAGTTGGAGCCCCCCTGCAGGTGCAGTTCTGCACCTGCAGATTCAGCCACCCCCAGGTCGTGTAGCGGCGGTATGTATTTTTTGAAACATCTGAATATAAATGGACCAGGGAGTTCAAACCCACGTTGTTCAAGGGTCAGCTGGGCTTGATCAGTGTTGCTACTGATGGACACCAGATAATTTGTGAGAGTCAGAAAGATCTTCTACCACCAAATATCTTCTCCACTGTACCTGAAAACTTCCGTGTTTTTATCGTGAAACATCTTTTTGAAAGTGAATAGAAAGTCCTGGGAGGACTAATGAGTGTATTGGACCGATGAGTGCGAGGGCAGATTGCAGCCCTCCCAACTCGCAGAAACTAGCACTAAAAGGTTTAGAATTGCTGCTGCTGCTGCTGCTGCTTCGAGTTCTTCACCAGATTTATTGTAGTATAATTTTTAAATTATACAATACAGTAAAATTCACCAGTTTTAAATTTTGCTGAGTTTTGACAAATACAGACAGTTGTGAAACCACCACCACAGTCAGAACACAGAACATTTCCGTCACCCCCGAAGATTTCCCTCGTGCCCATTACACAGACTAGAAATCTTAATGGGAGAAGGGAGCGGCCCTCAGGCTGGAGGGAGACCAGTGAGCTCCAGCTGCTTCCGTGTTGCCTGGGAAGCAGGAGATCACATCCTGAGTCCCCCGTGCCTCCCGCCAAGCCTGGGAACGCTCTTGACAGGTCTTGAAATCCCAGCTGAGCTGGATGTATATTTTGTATCTTGTTAATGTAGAGTGATCCGTTCATCCCAGTTTGCCCGGAACTTTCCTAGTTTCAGCACTCCAATTCCCACGTCCAGAGAACCCACCTCCGGTCTCAGACAAACCAGGACACTTGGCCCCCAGCTGTGATGTTCATGCCACTGTTCCTAAGCTTGAGGTCGCCGTCCCATTTTAGAGTCACTTCTCTCATGTGAGCACACAGTAGGCACTCAGTAAATGAGAACGAGTGGACACAGATACAACCCCAGTCGTAGGCAGCTGCAGATTCCTGGCCTGGAAAACAGGAGACCTGGGTGCTGGTCCCAGCTCTGCCAGGTCTGCAGTGGTGTGATCCTGAGAAAGTGGTTTCTCACTCCAGGTCTGTTCCCTCCACTGCAGAGTAAGGGGTCTTCAGTCATTTCTGCCTCTGACGCTGTGGTGCTGCTCTTCCTGTACGTGGGATTGTATGCTGATGGCACTTCCACTCAGCTTCCCCCCGCCTTTTCCTTGCCCTTCCCCCCTTCAAATACATATAGTCGATCAATAAATTATGTAAGGGCAGGTTGGTAATGGAACTGCTGATGGGCCAGGCTTATGCAGAGTGCTTCTGCGAGAGCAGTAGAGTTTGGACCTTGAACCAAGCAGCTGTGGCTGGGAGTTGGACGATCAAGTCTGCCTTCAGCTAAGTGTTTGTAATGACCTGATTTGCTCTTTGTGCATACCTTGGAGGGAGGATGCTGGGAAGAGGGAGCCTGCTCTTTAGGAATTTCCCTGGGTGGTTGAGGGGGTCCCCTGGAAAATAGAATTTTATAAGCTTCTTATCTATCAGAGGCAACTATTTCCAGCTGGGCTAGTGCCCAGGAAACAGCAGCCTAGGGTCTTACTCAGTTTTTTAGCACAGAAGAAGGATTAACCTGAGAGATACTAGGACTTGGGCTGGAACCTTGGGCTGACTTAGGAGCAGGAAGCTGCATTTTGTTTTTGGTTCTGTCACGTACTGTCTGTGGAACTATGGGCTCGTTGTGTCACCACTCTGAACCTCAGTGCTTGCTTCTAATTTTCCTTTTTAATGGAGTGAGTCTGCACTGCCTACCTCACGGGGTGGTGTGATCCAGTGAGATGGTACAGGTGGGAGTTCTATGAAAACGAATGAAACAAATGTCAGGAGTTACCACTAACTCGGGATCTGTATGGTGGGGTCTGATTCATGGAGGGAGGGAAATGGAAATTTCAGGGTTTTGTCCGCTTAGTTCTCCCAAGTAATGTCATTAAGACCCTCTGACTCCCAAAAAGATAAGAAGGGTAGGTTTGAGGGAGGTACTATTTTTTGCTTGAAAGACACCCCAGCCTACCTTCCTCCTTGGCAAAGTTCCTGACTTCTTGAAGAAGCTTTTCCTTGGCTATAAAGTCTGCTCCTTCTACTCTCGTTTCCAAATTTTGGGGGCAGTGGAGCAAGAGCTCTTTTTGAACCCCTCGGCTAAGTCCAGCCAGATGCACTTTCCTACCTAGAGGGAGCTTTCTCGTGTAACTGAGCATCTCCCTTTTGGGGCTTCAGGCCTTTGAAGGGTTAAGTGAGCCACACCCTCAGCGGGAACAGCCTCGGACTTTGTGCTGAGCAGCTGTCACTGGCCTCTCCTGGCTTGACTGGTACAGGGAGCCCTGGCTGGAGGAGGCAGCACAGAGGAAGGTCAGAAGCCTGGACACTGTCAAGAGGAGGGCAGTCTCTTCCCTCTCTTCCCCAACACCATGGACAGCTCCTGTTAACAAGGACACCTCTCACCCTTGGGGCCTGGGACTCCTTATGCTGCCTTCCTGTCAAATTTGGATTTCATCCACCGTTCTCCAAGGGACACTGAAGTTACACCCTAGTTCCAGTGTTGGGTGAGTCCTGCCTTGACCCGCCTCTGCTCCTCTTTTCACAGTTTTGGGTGCCCCGTGCGGGGGCTGTTTTTTCTCCCCTTCCCCACCTCCAGCCAATCCCATTCCCCTCAAGTCTAAATCCAAAGAATATGCCTTCTCCAAGCCCCCTGCTTCTGCTTCTCACCCTTTCCTGTCAAATTATTTAAAAATAACTTTGTTTGTTTGTTTAAAATCTGGAAAATGTGGGATGATAGTAGTATCTACTTCATGGGGATAGTGTGAGCATGAAATTAACTAGTGTGTGTAAAGTGTTGAGAGCCTGCCTGCCCGCAGCAGCTACTCCTGTGACTTCTGTGGTTTGCAGGAGACTGCTATTAGTGCTCTTACGGCTCCCTCAGCTGTGCGCTTACAGGAAGTGATGAGGGCTCTCGTTTCCTGGAGCTTGGAGAAGGCAGAGTGAAGGGAGAAGGTAGCCTGTGGGCCCTTGCTCCGCTTTCTCTTCTGCTTCCCTCCCTTCCCCCACTCAGGTTCTGCGCAGGAGAGGAGGATGTGGCTCTTTTATTCCTGCTAGGGAGTGGCACTGACCATTGTACTAACAGTTCTGTCCTACACCAGGTGACCCTGCCTGCTCAGTCCCACAGGGGAGCCGAGGAGGGCTGGGCTTCCTCCTCAGGGAGCACCTGTCACGTGCCGGCTGCGTGGGGGCTTAGCCCCACAGTGTTTCCTGCCCCCCTAATTCTGCTCCTCCTCACCCATTCCCACCTGCCACTGAAAAGCTGGGTGTGTCCCCCTGGGGCAAAGTCCTTGCCAGAAGGTTATAGGCATGGGTGTAAAAGCTGGAAATAGAGAAATAGGGACAGAAGTATAGAGGTCCTGACAGCTACTTGCTTGTTGGGGAAACAAACCTCATTTTCATTTTCTTTTGGGATATTCCAACATTCTATGGAGGAACGCCCGCCTCTGTCCTCTAGCTCATCACCTTGTCCAGTCCCCATTCAAAAATGAATCTCACTGTAACAACGAGAAAGGAGGAAAGACTTTGGAAGAACTTTTGAAATGGGTATGCTGGATTAGGTGACTGAAACGGGCAGTGAGAGGTTGGAAGTTGAGGAGGAGAACTGGGGACAAGTAGTCAGGGAGTCTGGACCCCAGCCAGGCCTCAGTGCAGGAGGAGGGAGCTTTCGGTGCCTGGCTGTGGCATGAAGCTTACTTTCGCTCTCCTCCCCCATCCCCCTCTCCTGCAAGCAC